GGATTATCCATGGGTTATCATGGGTTATCCTTGGATATTATGGGATTTATGGGTTATCCATGGATTATCTATAGGTTATCTATGGGAGATCCATGGGTTATTATGGGTTATCGATTCGTTACTATGGGTTATCTATGCATTATCTATGGGTTATTAGGGGTTATTATGGGTTATCTATGGCTTATTATGTCCTATTACGGGGTATCCATGGGTTATTACGGGATATCTATGGGTATCTGTGTGTCTCTAGGGGTTATTATGGGCTATCCATGGTTTATGGGGTAGCTATGGGTTATCTATGGGTTACTATGCAGTATCTATGGTTCTCTATGTGTTATTATGGGGTATCTATGAGTTATGGAACATCTATGGGTTATTATGGGTTAACTATGAGTTTCCATTACCTATGTATGGGTTAACTCTAGGTTCTCTTCGGGTTACGTACAGATTACTATGGGTTACACGAGCTGAATCTCTCCAGGGATGGCGCCTCCACCACTGCTCTGGGCAACCTATTCCAGCGCTCTACCACCTCATATTAAAGAGCTTTTTCCTCAGATCCAACCTTAATCTCCCCTTTTCCAGTTTGAAACCATTCCCCCCCCCATCCTATCGCTACCTGCCCCAGTGAAGAGCTCTTCCCCACACTTCTTACAGGCACATTTTAGGTCCTGGAAGGACGCTATAAGCTCCAGGCTGAACAACCCCAACTCAACCCTTAGGGACACGGAGCCATTGTCCCTTCACCAAAGCATAAACCCCTCATTTGCTGCCATTAACCCCCCAAAAAAGCCCTTTTTCTTCCCAAAAACACACGGAGAGAACAAACCACGCTCACCAGGCACTTGTTGTCCTGCCGGTTGATGCTGACCCGAGAGTCCTTGACGACGACGTGAGTGATTTCCCGAAAATCACAGAAATGGACCCACTGCGGCTCGCTCCGCTCCGCCTTGGCTTCCGCCTCTTTATTTCGGCTTTTCCTCCCAAAATATCCGCCACGGGCGAAGCTCTCGCTGCTCTGCAGAGGCAAAGATGCAAAGGCATCAGCTCCAGCTGCTGGTGCTTACTGGGCAAACTGGGAAGCAACTGGAAAAGGGGTGAGCGGTGGACGTTGTCTACTTGGACTTCTCCAAGGGGTTTCGATGTGGTCCCCCACAGCCTCCTTGAAATACAAAGTGGGGTCCCTCGGGGATCAATATTGGGCCTGACGCTTAATTAATATCCTAATGAATGATCTGGATGGTGGGGTCGGGAGCTCCCTGATGACGTTGGACGATGGCAGCAAAATGAGGGGGGTTGGTGACGCCCCGAAAGGGAGAGCCACCCTCCATGGGATGGTGTGGACGAGGTGGGTGTGAGGAACCTCGTGAAGTTCAGCACGGAGAAACGTGAGGGCTGGGGTTTGGGAACGCATCAGCCAAGAGCCTGGGGAGATCGGTCCGATATTGATCCAGATCGGTCCGATATTGATCCAGATCGGTCCGTTTTTGATCCAGATCGGTCCGTATCGGTCCAATGTTGATCCGTATCGGTCCAATGTTGATCCGTATCGGTCCAATGTTGATCCGTATCGGTCCAATGTTGATCCGTATCGGTCCAATATTGATCCAGATCGGTCCGTATCGGTCCAATATTGATCCGTATCGGTCCAATGTTGATCCAGATCGGTCCGATATTGATCCAGATCGGTCCGATATTGATCCAGATCGGTCCAATATTGATCCGTATTGATCCGTATTGATCCAGATCAATCCAATATTGATCCGTATTGATCCATAGCGATCCGTATCGATCCTATATTGATCCAGATCGATCCGATATTGATCCAGATCGGTCCGTATCAGTCCAATATTGATCCAGATCGATCCAATATTGATCCATATCGATCCTATATTGATACGTATCGATCCAATATTAATCCAGATCGATCCGATATTGATTCATATCGATCTGATATTGATCGATATTGATCCAGATCGATCCGATATTGATCTGTATTGATCCTATATTGATCCAGACCGATCCTACATTGATCCTATATTGATCCAGATCGACTCAATATCGATCTGTATCGATCCAATATTGATCCAATATTGATCCATATTGATCCATATCGATCCTATATTGATCCGTATCGATCCAATACTGATCCATATTGATCCAGATCGATCCAATATTGATCCATATTGATCTGATATTGATCCATATTGATCCTATATTGATCCTATATTGATCCATATTGAGAGGCACGTTCAGTATCAGAGAGAGCAGCCCTGTGGAAAGGGACCTGGGGGGGTCCTGGTGGATGCCCCTGTGGAGAAAGGCTGAGGAAAGTGGGTTTATTCAGCCCTGAGAAGGCTCAGGGGGGAGCTGATCACCATGGAGCAGGACATCAAGGGTGGCACCAAGAGGATGGAGACTCCCTTTTGCCAAGGGGGAACGTGGAGAAGGCGAGGGGCAATGGACACAAAGTGCTGGGGAGGGATTCCCATTGGACTGCAGAGAAAATGTTTTACCAAGAGATCAGTGGGAAATGGGAGTGACCCATGGGTGGGGAATGGGAGTGATCCATGGGGGGGAAATGGGAGTGATCCATGGGGGGGAAATGGGAGTGATCCATGGGTGGGAAATGGGAGTGATCCACGGGTGGGAAATGGGAGCGATCCATGGGTGGGAAATGGGAGTGATCCATGGGTGGGAAATGGGAGTGATCCACGGGTGGGAAATGGGAGCGATCCATGGGTGGGAAATGGGAGTGATCCATGGGTGGGAAATGGGAGTGATCCACGGGTGGGAAATGGGAGCGATCCATGGGTGGGAAATGGGAGTGATCCATGGGTGGGAAATGGGAGTGATCCATGGGTGGGAAATGGGAGTGATCCATGGGTGGGAAATGGGAGTGATCCATGGGTGGGAAATGGGAGTGATCCATGGGTGGGAAATGGGAGTGATCCATGGGTGGGAAATGGGAGTGATCCATGGGTGGGAAATGGGAGTGATCCATGGGTGGGAAATGGGAGTGATCCACGGGAGGGAAATGGGAGTGACCCATGGGGGGGAAATGGGAATAATCTCCCATGGGAAGTGGTAAACTCTACACTGATCAATTTTAAGACTCATCTTCCCAGGGTGCTGCCTCATCCCATTCAAACCCCACTTTGACCTCCTGAGGTTGGACCAGAGGATCCCTGAGGTCCCTTCCAAGCTGGGATCCTGCAGGAGCTCAGGGAAAGGAGCCGACGCGGGTTGGATTTTGGGTGAGAAATGAAGGATTAAGAGCACAGATTTTACCTCCACGGGCAGCGGCCGCCACTGGATCCCACTCGTTCCGGTGACGAGGACCTCGTGGGTAAGCGCCGGGTTTTTGGGGAGCGGCGCGTGGCCGTGCTCGGGCGCCGAGCACCCCCCATTGACGTAGAGCTGCGGCTTTTCCCCTTCAGAAGAGGTTTCCAAGGAGGAGACGGGGAAAAGCTCGGTCCCGAAACGAGGGGCGAGGTGCTCCAAGGTGGCCAGGTACTTGCACATGATGTCCTGAGCCGTCAGCTTGCCGGCGCCGACCGTCTGGCGCTGGAAACGCTGCACGAACTTTTGGAAGGCGTTGCGCATCCGCAGTCTGGTCAGGGAGTTGTGCTGCTGGATCTGGCGGGAGAAGGAGCGCGGGATGCAGTCCCTGAAGCTGCGGCGAAGGGGGGGAAGGAACGAGCGGGCGGTGAGACCTCGGAGCTGAAAACAGAGCCTAAAGGGACCCCTCTGTCACCTCAAAGGGCCCCTCTACTGCCCAAAAGGGTCCCTCTGTCATGGAAAACAACCCCACGCCACCTAAAAGGACCCCAGCATCTAAAAGGGTCCCTTTAATGCCTAAAAGGGGCCTCTGTCACCTAAAGAGATCTCATCGCCTAAAAGGGATCCCATCACCTAAAGGGATCCCATCGCCTCAAAGAGATCCCACCACCTAAAAGGATTCCATCACCTAAAGAGATCCCATCGCCTCAAAGGGATCCCACCGCTTTAAAAGGATTCCATCGCCTAAAAGTGATCCTGTCGCCCAAAAGGATCCCATCGCCTAGAAGGACCCCATCCCCTAAAGGGATCCCTCCATCATCTAAAGGGACCCCATCGCCTCAAAGGATCCCTCCATCGCCTAAAAGGATCCCATCGCCTAAAGGGATCCCATCGCCTAAAGGGATCCCATCACCTCAAAGGATCCCTCCATCACCTCAAAGGATCCCATCGCCTAAAAGAACCCCAGCACCTAAAAGGACCCCATCCCCTAAAGGGATCCCATCGCCTAAAAGGGATTCTATCACTCAAAAGGATCCCATCATCTAAGGGGATCCCATCATCTAAGGAGATCCCATCGCCTCAAGGGACCCCATTGCCTCAAGGGATCCCATAGTCTAAAGAGATCCCATCACCTAAAGGGACCCCATCGCCTAAAGGGATCCCATCAATTAAAAGGATCCCATCGCCTCAAAGGATCCCATCGCCTCAAAGGATCCCACTGTCCAAAAGGGCCCCGTCACCTAAAAGGATCTCATCACCTAAAAGAACTCCATCACCTAAAAGGATGCCGCCCCCTAAAGGGATCCCATCGCCTAAAAGGATCCCATCATCTAAGAGGATCCCATCACCTAAAAGGATCCCATCGCCTGAAGGGATTCCATCACCTAAAGGGATCCCAGCGCCTCAAAGGATCCCAGCGCCTCAAAGGATCCCATCATCTAAGAGGATCCCATCACCTAAAAGGATCCCATTGCCTGAAGGGATCCCATCACCTAAAAGGACCCCATCCCCTAAAGGGATCCCATCATCTAAGAGGATCCCATCACCTAAAGGGATCCAATCGTCTGAAGGGATCCAATCGTCTAAAGGGACCCCATCACCTAAAAGGACCCCTCTGCTGCCTAAAAGGATCCCATCACCTAAAGGGATCTCATCACATAAAAGGGCCCCATCACCTAAGGGGATCCCATCACCTAGAACAACCCCATCACCTAAGGGGATCCCATCACCTAAGAGGATCCCATCACCTAAGGGGATCCCATTTGGGGCCCCGAACCACGACAGCCGGCGCTCACCTGTGTTTCCTGGCCACCTCCTCGAGGGAGAGGCCTTTTCGGATGGCGATGTGCGAGAGGTGGAGCACGGCCATGCCCAGGCTCTCGTTCTTGAACCTCTGGATCTCCTGCTCGCCCCGCAGGTCTTTCAAAGAGGCGACGTCGTTGATGAATTCGTATTTCCCCTGTTACATTGCAACAAAAACCAGTGAGAAACCCCCGCGTTGGCTTCCAAAGCGCTAATTTTTGGGGTTATATTTTAATATGAAAGGTGTAATGGGATCCTGTTTAGCTCAGCTCCCAAGGACGAGAACTTTTTGGAGTGAACGCTGTGGCTGTGTGATGGTTGCGGCTGCATTAAAGCTCTGTTTGTCCCCTAAACAAAGCCCTCGCAGATGACAAAACAGACGAGGATCAAGAAAACCCCCCCAAATTTCCACAGCTCCAAGGTTTCAGGTTGTTATCTCCGCTTCGTTACCTGCTCAAAGAGGTACTCGAAGGACGAGCGGTCGAGCAAAGCTCCTCCTCGCGGCTTCTCGTCGGGGGAATCGCTCTGGCGGGGCACGTTGCGATAAACGCCCGGTTCCTTCTCGTTCATCCCGTGCCAGTTCCGAAAATAATACCTGGAGGGGAGGAGGAGAGCGGCGTTGGATGTTGGGGATGAAAATGATGCCCTGGTTTGAGCTAAATAGGACTAATTTTCTATTTAGTGAATTTATTTTTCAGCTCAGTCTCCTCTAAGTGGCTGTACTTGCACGTTTTTCCAACAGCGTGCACTTCTACAAGTGATAATGCTTGGATGTGATGGAAACATGGCAAGGCCACTGTCCCACCATGGGTCTGTTGTAGTTTAGGGTTGGGCTGGGCCACTGAACCCTTCTACAAGTGATAATGCTTGGATGTGACAGAAACATGGCAAGGCCACTGTCCCACCATGGGTGTCTGTTGTGGTTTAGGGCTGGGCTGCCCACTAAACCCTTCTACAAGTGACCTTGGATGTGATGGAAACATGTCAAAGCCACTGAACCCTGCTACAACTGATAACACTCCTATGTTGTGTAAACATGGCAAGGCCACTGTCTCACCATGGGTGTCTGTCATGGTTTAGGGCTGGGCTGCCCACTAAACCCTTCTACAAGTGATAACGCTTGGATGTGATGGAAACGTGGCAAGGCCACTGAACCCTGCTACAACTGATAACACTCCTATGTTGTGGAAACATGGCAAGGCCACTGTCTCACCATGGGTCTGTTGTGGTTTAGGGCTGGGCTCGCCACTGAACCCTTCTACAAGTGATAACGCTTGGATGTGATGGAAACATGGCAAGGCCACTGAATCTTTCTACAAGTGATAACACTCCTATGTTGTGTAAACATGGCAAGGCCACTGTCTCACCATGGGGACCTGTTGTGGTTTAGGGCTAAGCTGGCCACTAAATCCTGGACAGACGCTTTGTGTGAACCCCTCTTCATTCTCCAGAAGGGAAGAGAAAAAGGGATTAAGGGAGGGAGACTTCATGGGTTGGAAAACAAAATGAACAGATTTAGTGAAACATTAATACTGATACTATAGAATAATAATGTAAATAGGAAATTAATGAAATATATACAAATATAGATATAAAATCAATATAAAATCTTCCCCCAATGACGATGACGTCACCAGAGGCTCTGGGAGCAGGGCACTGGAAAAGTCCCAGTCCAGACCCAGCAGCAGTGGGAGCTGATGCAGGAACACAGGGATCAGGATCGGAGGCAGATGAAGCAGCAGGGATCTGCTTGGACTGCGGCCATTGCAGGAGCAGAAGAGAGCAGAGATGGGGGTCAAGACCCTCATGATCCCTCAGCTTTATCCTGAGTATGACGTATGTGGGGTGGAATACCTCATTGGTCAGTTTTGGGTCCCTATAGGTGCAGATACAGGACTCTTGGTGACACAGCGGCCTTGCCATGTTTCCATCACATCCAAGCGTTATCACTTGTAGAAAGGTTCAGTGCCCAGCCCAGCCCTAAACCACCTGGGTTTGCCTCTAAAGCCAAACCTGGCTGCACTGGACCCATTTCAGAGGTTTTTTCACCCAAAAATTTGCTCTTTCCACCCCAAGCAGCTGCCGAGGAGGCGGAGGCAGCTCCCAGAGAGAATTTCGCAGAGGTTTGGTCTCAAAATGATGGGGAAAGGAGCAGCCAGGTTTTCCCTTCTTCCCCTTGTTTTTGACCTTCACTGTGAGTCAGACTCCAAAAATCAACCCCAAAAATCAACCCTAAAAACCTCTGATGAAAAATAACCAGCAGCAACGTTTTTAGGGGAGGAAAACACAAAGATCACCATCCGGGAAGCCAAATATCACAGCTTGGATCAGCCAGAAAAACAGAAGAATACTTGGAAGAGACCGAAAGGGCTCCAAAACCGTCCCGTTCCTCGTTAAAAATCCTTCCAAGTGCAACTTAAACGAGCCCCGAAAACGGGAACGGGCCTCACCTCATGCGGAAAAGGAGGTTGAGGTCGGTGTCTTTGCTGATCTGGAAGCGGTGGTTGGGCGGGAGCCAGAGGCGGTTTTGGGTGTCATAGAGGGCGAAGAGGATGTAGCACAGTGGCGTGATGCCTGCGGAGAAAACACCCACCCTGTGAGACGTCATCCAGCCCCAAAAACCCCGTATTTAACAGCAAAAAATCCTCATTTTTTCACTCCAGATGCTTGATTTTAGCGGCAGCGCAACCCCGAGCCACCCCGGCGGTGGTGGCAAACGTCACAAACAGGATAATCTTGATAAATGCCATGTTTTCAAAGGGAGCCGCGCTTCTGCCGCGCTTCTGGTGCGTACAGAAAAAACCAAATGCCCAAAAAATCCAGAGAAACTCTGAATTTAGACCCATTTGCCTGCTTGGTGAGGGTTAAAAATGAACACTAAGGGTTAAAAGAGGCATAAAGTGCCCTTAAATCAAAGCAATGTGGGAAAAGTTCTGGAGAAGGTGCCCAGCAAGGGCTAAAAATGAACCCTAAGGGTTAAAAGAGGCATAAAGTGCCCTTAAATCAAAGCAATGTGGGAAAAGTTCTGGAGAAGGTGCCCAGCAAGGGCTAAAAATGA